TTTTTTTGTGATGAGTATGTAGAAAAAAATTTATTTCTTTTTAAGGTTATTTTTGGTGTATGTTACTGATGTCTGCGTTCTCAACTTCTTGTTTATTTGTGACATTTTTTTCTAATTTGTTTTTGTATTTGTTACTAGTTATCTATCATTTGTTGCAACTTCATACTCCTTAAATCTGTTTGTTAGCCTCTAAGAAGAAAAGAGGTAGAAACTAAAAAGTGGTTTACTCATCTCTTATGTTTCCACATGCTGAAATGGATAAAAACTTAATCTGTTTTTTTTTTAATTTTTAAATATGCATCTTAATTTTACATTTTAAAGTTGCCATCTTATATTAGTTTTTTTTTTTTATGTCAAAACCCAACTCAAAAGGTTACTGAGTATATGAGGTTTGGCCATTTCAAAATTGATTTGGCCATTTGAAAATCGACTTGGCCATATTTATTTAAAATATGTCATTTGGCCATTTGAAGCAGCACTTAACACCTTGACCCACACATTGCATTTGATAAATAAGTTACTAAGTAAATGAGGTGCTCTCTCTTACTACCTTGACTCACAACCCTTCGAAAAATTGGGAACATAATCCTACAAAAAAATATGCCCTCAAACCCAATTCTACACCGTATTAAAGGGTTTTTGAACATTAAAACAACATTTTTCAACATCAACATTAAAACAATATAGAAGCATATATTGTTGCATCATCTATTGTTAGTTGGACTTTGTAACTTCACCCATTGAATTTATGTGAAATTATAAATTGTCTTGCATATTTTCATAACATTCAAATATTAAATTAAATAAAAAGTTGTTTCAATTTTTTTTTATAAGATAAATATATGTAATATGATGGTGTATACTTAATCGAAGTTTTTCTATTTTTTTTGGGGATTTTGACCCTTTTTTTTTTTTTAAAAATCTACTTGACTGGTTAATCGGGTTCTGGTTCGAACCGCTCCCAACTTCATGACCAGTTAACCATTCCGGTTCGATTTTGCGAACATTACATGATGCGTATTTGGCGTATTTCTGATCCCTATTAATCTATTGGGAAAAAAAACACACGCAAAAAATGAGTTTGCGTTCCAAAAGCATCATCGAGTTACACAATAAAACTTCGGGAGTTTTTCGAATTAGGATCACATCAAATTACTATATTGCCCCTAAGAAAAGAGCAGGGTCTTGGACCCATGAGGGCTCTTTAGAAAAAAGTTTATAAAAGGTTGCAATTTTAAAATGTAGAATTAGAGATGCACCTCAAAACTCCATCGAAAAAGGTTGTTTTAATGTTGAAAAAACCTCTAATTGATCATCTCGATATCGAGATGAATGAATATGAAAAATAAAATAAAATTTGATTTAAAAAAATAGTGCATCTTGCAATACATTGTCTAGACCGTCCATTTTCAATATTTTCATATGTTTATAGATCTACTTGATTTTAATTATTTTTTAAATTTAAAATTTTATAATTAGATATGAAAATAGATTTTGACATAATCCTAAGAATTTTTTCACCAAAATTACATGTTATGATAAAATTTAGAGGTGTACTTTAATTGGATTGTTTAACCTTATAGAAACCACACCCAGCTTTTTATTCACCTCTCATTGTGATTAAATGGCACCATATCATTATCAATATCTTGGCTCCATAGTAATAGGCAAGCTCATTTTGGTGAAAAACAAAGTCGCAAGTTTACGACTTTACTCTTTTTTTTTTTTTTTCGGGTGAATTAATGGGGATGTCAGACCCCGTCCATTCTATTAAAAAAAGAAGAAAAAAAATTACAAAGACAATCATCTTACTTACAACCCCGAGAAGGGAACATTAGCAACATTAGATAAAAAAAATCATTACAAAATTTGGGGGCAAGCACACCACACCACACCACACCGTTGCTTCATCTTTAGAAACCAACTCTTTGGTCAAGAGAGCAACATCTGTGTAGGTATGTAGAATCTGCATTGATGGGCTGCAGCAAAAGATATGAGCCTAAATCTACAGTTTGCCAAGATAGTGGTAACCTTGTGAATTGCTAAAAAAAAACTCAGCCTAGCCGTTAGGGGGAAAAAATTGTAATTACTTGATGCCAAAGGTAAACTCTGTAATTTCCAAAGCTCCATGGGCATTTTTGTCTTTCCACAACTACTCCCCAAGATCCTCCACTCTCACATCAGTATAGTTCCATATTTCTCAAAAGTTGAAAGAGCCTTTCTGATGTTTTCCCATGGGATTGTATACAACGAGACTGTTATGTTATTTAGGTAAAGCTTGCAAACACTTCGAGCCATCAAATATAGAATCAAGCCACTGGGCTCGTCGTATCTCCTCACAGAGTCCAAAATTGTATTTTAGATTTTGACTTCTCGTTGTGGCACACTCATTGCTGTCCGCCAAGTTTCACACCTAATTCCAAAAAAATAAACGGTCTTACCGTATACTTTCCCTTAGTCAGTGCCATCACTTGCATTGTCTTCTCCCCATGTTCCTCTTAGAAAGTGCCCTAGTGAGCAAGGCCCTTAGTCTCCTCGACCCAAAGCCGGGCTTAACTAGAATCTTGCCCCTGAACTCCGAGCAAGGCTTATTACCATCCTCATCCATTGCACACCACCCACCATAGGGAAACTGGTTAGCCTTTCTCTTTAAGAGGTCTCTATCGATTCGATCGAGGACTGGTTCATTTCTCCTAAATTTTCTAGCAAATGGGGCATAGCTCTTCACCATTCTCCTGTAATCCAAATTGGTTAGAGCGATGGGGTGCTGCTTTGGTGGGTTGTCCCATGCTATGTAATGGAGGTCATGGTTCACAGTGGTGTTCTTGAAGCCATGAGAGTTGCATATGACTGTTTGGAAATAGCCCTCCGGTGAAGAAATGAAGTTGGTGTAGTATAGCAGTGTGGTCCTTGGGAGGTTTTCGTAGCCTAGTATGCAGTATTCCGCAAAGGCCCTTGATAGCATCACCCATGCTGAACCTGCACGTGTGAGGGAGATTAGAGAGAGAAAAAGAGCAATTTGTTTAAACAATTTTCTCTTGTGATACAGTTTGGCGTTTTAGACCATTATATATCATTTCTTTATCTTTAATTCATGACATAATTGTAAACTTATGAGTTGTATTTCCTCCATTTCTATTAATGAAGTCAGGTCAGGGGCCTTCTACCCCCACCGACTTAAAAAACATAAAATAATTGTTTTGACAAGGCATAGGAAAATGTCGATTCAATTATTAGGAAGTACAACATGTTCCTTCAGGAGTGCACTATACACTTACTCCCTCGGAGAAAAAACCAGCCTAGGAGGTGTTTTCTCAATTTGAGATGTCTAGATCCGTTATAGTATCATCCCATGTTTGAAAAGATGCAGATCTTGATTGGATTCGGTGGGCAGGAGATCAGGGTTTCCTTGGGAATCGGGTGATAACTGTTTTTGTTCACCGATCCAGATCAAAGTAATACAGGGAAGGAGATTCATAACCAGATTTTGGATTTTGAAACACTAGTGTCATCATAGGAGTCTTTTTTTTTTTTGGTTAAGGATTTCGAGCTACTAACCACTTTGATCTGATTATTAAAAAATTCGATTATCTCTGTTAATTCTAATTCTGAGCTGTTATTTTTTCAAGCATATATAAAATGCTTATATTTTATATTTGGGTTTGGTTTGCAAAATGTTGCAACTATAAACAATCAAGTCAAATGCACCCCCAAATTGTCATTAGATGCAATTTTGGTGTCGAAATTTTTAGGATGCTGAGAGAATCTATTTTTTATCTAATTATAAAGTTTTAAACTTAAAAAATAATTCAAATCGAGTAGATATATAAACACGTGAAAATCTAAAAAAATGGACAGCCCAGATAGCGTGTTGCAAGATGTACTTATTTTGGAGGTGAAATTTTTTTTTTCCTCCATATCTATACGTCTCGATATCGAGATGATCAATTATATGTTTTTCCAACATAAAAATAACTCTTTTGGAAGGATTTTAGAGATACACTTTAATTCCACATTTTAAGGGGTCAACCTTAAATAAATGATTTTTTTTATATTTACTAGTACTACTACTGAAGTTGTTGTTGTTACTGTTAATGGCGGCTCTTTTAAATTGGCTGCTAGGTTGAGGAGGTGACATTAATTAAAGCATTAAATGAAGGAAAAGTATTTGGTGAGTAGGTTGACTCACCTATTCTTGGGCCCTCTCCCTCAGAAGTATACTTTGAAGTTGTATATGGATCCAAAATTTTAGGGTTTGATAATCTTGCCACAACAATGATCTGAATTTGGAATTTTTTTTTTTCAAAAATATTTATTATTTTTTGAATTCCTTTTTCCACCTTTCATTTAAACTTTTAGTGGATGTAATAATTTTTTGACATCTATCTCTATGTTTAATACAATCTCAACCTCATTCCAGCACCATCAAACCTTTGGAAAGTGATGACCCCTAACGCTACATATTCTAATAATTTAACAAAGGGTATACGATAAGATAATTTATTTTTGTTGTATGGAGTCACGATGTTGAACATAAAATGGAGTGGATAGGGATGCGTTACTAAACCGGCTCAAAGTCTAAAAGAATTTTTATTGAAATTTATGATTGGGTTTAAGCCGTAAAATTTTACAGGTGAAAATGATTAGAGAAATTTACATACGGGCAACATTGGGGGGAGGGGGATCAATTTCAAAATGGGAACACCTTTATCCCAATTTACAGGTGGCACCGCCCGGTATTTTTTTATCAAGATATCCCTTGCCTGTAATTTTGGTGCTTTAAATTTTTTTTGCGTTCACATCCGTGTATCTTGAGACCGAGATGATAAGTAATAGGGGTTTTCATCATCAAAACAACATTTTTTTAATGGATTTTTTAGGCTTGCCTTTTTTTCTACATGTTAAGGTTGCACCTTATATAAACTTTTCCATAGGCTCATAGCATACATTCCATCTATAAACATGTTCATAAGTATCATAGTCTAGTGCCCTTTAGTGGAGAATACAACCACAAACTTTCTCATGTTAGAGCAGTTCAAAGAACATCTTATGCAGCCTTTGTAAAAAAAGAAGAAGTAACAATGGGTATTCTTTGGAGGTGACTTTACCCCCTTTTTCAAACTCCACATTCAGTCAAATTAGTCTTGTCTCTCTCTAAATAGTTTGTACAAGGGTCCTCAAGCTTAAAGTATCTTAAGCACTGCTTGAAAAATCAAACCGGCTTTGAAAACCGGCCGACGGGTGGTTTTGACTTTTGAGTACCAGGTAAATCGGCTGGTTCAACCATCGTAACTGGGTAGGTCTTAGTCGGTCAAAAAAATATTCTAAACGAAAATCTAAAAAATATGAAAAATATATTTAAAACATGATTAAACGAAGCACATCCGAATGAAGTTGAAAATTAGTGGAAAAAATGGATTTTAAAAGTCGATTTGTGTCTATGGGTATTTTTGAAAATTTTCAAAAAGATGAAAAAAATGTAAAAATAATATTTATGACAAAAAAAAACTTTCCAATCTTTACCAAAATGACAACAAAAAAAAAATTAAAAAACACATTGTAAACAAATTCTTTATTTTTTGGGATTATATATATATATATATATATATATATTTTTTAAATACCGACCATACCACCAAAACCAGCCATTGCCCCGTTCTGGTTTTACAAATCGGTTCTAAGTTGTACCGGCTGAGTTTACTAATACTTATCCTAAGTTTTATGAAAGGAAAGTATATATTTGCTACCAAGTTATTATAAAAGGTGAATATTATAATCATGTGAAAATGGTAAAATACATTATCAAATTTGAAACCCCGACGGCAAACTGGTAACCCTTGGCCTTTTTCCTAAGACACTAATGTGAGACCCTACACCCCAAAGGTCGTGAGAATCCCTTTCTCCCTTATCCCTTGAAACCGGGGCCTCTGCAAAATGCATGGAAGCATTTAGTGTCCCATGCCTACACGCTGTCAAATTTGAAGCCTGGCCTCTCCCCAACCAACAAATGAAATGATTTTATTAGAGACATTATTTGACAACCTACCAAACCTGGAAGATAATTATGAGACCAATGAAACACATGGCAATATCTTTCATATCGTTATTGTTAATAAATAGGTACCATATTGAAAATATCGGAACCTATTTGTAATCATTCAAATTTTTTTTTTTTTTTTAAATCAGCCTAAAATACAGATTCAAATAAGAATTGTTCGATCCAGATCAAGAATCGATGCTTTTGAATGGGGAGAAACAGACTCGTTCTCCCAAAATATCAAAAACCGACCATCTCTTATAAAGAACTGATTCTAATAGGGAACCTACTAAACTGGGTCTGAAAAAATGTTATTTTTTCTAATTTTTTAAATTTGTTTGCCTACTTTTCTCAGTTTGATTGATGATCCTGAATGTCTATCCATCGGTTGGTCCGAAATAGTTCTTTGGGATCGACGATCTAGGTCACTAATAAGTGTTTTTAAACACTGTTGTAAACATAATTCATTTTGCCATCTATCAAGATTTTCTTTGGTGCATTTTCCATTTCAGTACATGTGTGTCAATATCAGATACGGATACGTGTCATATGTTAGGGATACGTGTGTGAACATCAAATGCAGGTACGAGTACGAGTATCCAAATGTGAATCAGCAATACAGAGTGTCGTCCACATATCATTTAGCTATTTTATTTGTGAAATTTTAGATGATATTAGCTTTTTTTTTTGTGAAATTTTGATAAGAGGCCTTGATGAAGTGATTTAAGTTTGAAGAGCTCAAATATGAGAGCTGTGTTCTTGGTGAATCGGCAAACTCAAAAAAAAAAAAAAAATTTGTCATTAACACTAAACAATTACACAAAATTGGTCATATTACATAAGAAATGCAAAAACGTCACTTATTCAACCTTAAATGGGATTTTACCTAATTTTAACTGCAATATTTTATCATGAATGCATAAATTTCCGAATTGTAGGCTCTACTAAAGAAACAAGGATAAAAAAATCCCATTTTATTTTTAGAATTTAAAAATAATTCTCTCTTTTATATTTTATGTACAAGTCCCATTTTTTGAGAGCACATGTTACATTTTAATGCCACTTTTTATTGATATTGGTTTAAGCTTAATTTTCGAGCGTCCATACCTATCACAATCGCACACATATAAAAACAATGCAAAATAATAATTTAAGATCAATAAAATAACAGAAATACCCCTAAACCTCAAAAATTATAGGGGAGTTTTAGTTATTTTATCTTAACGAATTATTGTTTACTTTTTTTTATAGGTGCATGATGGTGAAAAATATAGGCGCTAAAAATTTGAGCTTAAATTTATAATAGAAGAAAAGTAAATTTAATATACAATACATGCTTGAAAACAATGGAATTTAAGTATAAAATATAAAATACAGTGAGTCTACAATTAAAAGGCAATAATAAAAATGGGTTTTTCTGTAAAAACCAAAAAGAAAAAAAATCTCAAGAACAAACCTGTGAATAGTTTGAAAGCAGTGGGGATCTCCCTTTGCTGTGAAGTCCAAATGATCTCTGATTTTTTAACTTTATAGAGCCCAGGGTCGATGACGATGGGCTTAGCCCTTTTGTTACTGCAATTAAAATAAATAATCAGAAAATTAGTTATCATATGAAAGGAATAAAATACATTCCACTAAAAGGAAGTACTTTCTATGATGATAAGATTATCAACATATGAAATAAAAAAACATATTAAAACTCACAATTTCCAACCCAAACTGCTTGTATGTTGTATAAAGTTGAGATCTCGAGGCAATTTCGAAAAGGCGTGGATTAGATCTGCTCCAAGATAAACAATAAGTAAATTTGAGAGAGAGAGAGAGGCATTGTCAATTTAGAGAGAGAGAGAAAGAGAAACATTCTACCAATAAAAAAAAATTAATCCGACTCATTTTGCCCATTTGCATCTTTAAGAGAGAGAGAGACCCTTGCTCAATTATAAAAAATAATTCGACCCATTATGCCTAATACGCATTTTTTAGAGAGAGATTTTTCTCAATTATAAAAAGGGTATGGTTTATACAAGGCTGAGGTCCTAAACAATAGAAGTACTTGCGTGCCTTCAAATAGTATTGAAATATGTTGTTTATCAGGAATCGTAGTGATGGTCGAAAATTTTCATCTCTAATTATTATATAAAAAAGGATGTGGTTCGATAGAGCTGAGGCTCTAAACAATCAAAAGAAAATGCAGCTTCAAATAGTGTCTAGTGTTCAATATTGGAAATCTTTGTGATAGTTTTAAAATATATTTTTATATTTAATTATAAAATCTAACGCTTAAACAGTGTAGATCAAGCATATATATGAAAACTTGAAAATCTTGAAAATTGACGGTCCAAAAATGTGTCACGAGATGCCCAATTTTCAAAACTTGAAATCCATTTTTTTCTCATGTCCATGCATCTTCTTATTGAGATGATCAATTTGGGGATATTTAAGCATAAAAAACAATATCTTCTAGTGAAATTTTTGAGGTTGGAGGACATTTAAGTATCAAAGCATCCTTTAATGAATTTTTTGAGGTGGGCTCTAATTTGATTGTTTAGAGCCTCGGCTCTATATAATCTTTTTTCATTAAAAAATAGTATAGATGGAGGTGATATGAATACTTTAAAATCTTACAAAATTGATGATCTAAATCATACATTAAAAGATTTATCATTTTCAAGACTTGGAATCTATTGTTCACATGTCCGTACATCTTGAGATCAAGATGATCCAATTGAGGGATTTTTTTAGCATAAAAAACAACCTGTTGTATTGTTGAGGTGCGCCTTAATTTGATTAATTAGGGCCTCACCGTTACATAAACTTCTGAAAAACACCATTTGGCCTATGCGTTTTCCCATTCGATAACAACCCTAAGAAAACAGTCCAACATGTGGGTGTTTGTTTTCTGTGTCTAAAAACTCTCTCACACCATTACACAATCAAGACGGTGAGTTAGAGAGAGAGAGAGAGAAAGAGAGAGAGAGAGAGAGAGAGAGAGAGAGAGAGAGAGAGAGACTACACATCGTAGTAAGGTAAGGGTAGGGTAACGTACGACGACACGTAGAGTATAAGTACGAACACGTACCGTAAGTTCGGTACCGTTACGTAAGGACGTAC